TAGTTGAATTGCTAGGTCAAATGGTATCTCTATTTGCAACTTTTTGAGAAAGTGCCATACTGCTGGAGAAGTTTTTTGATGCATACAAGAATTTGATTTTTAGGTCCCATTCATCTTTTTGGTCACAGGATTGGGCAGCATTCCACTCTGTTGTATATGACATCACTGAGTCGGGCTTGCCGGCACATAATAACAGCATGTACCAAGCAGTATTCAGAATGCTTTACATCGGACTTATTAACTTTTCACAGTTCTGTGAGGTAGATACTCTTAATATTCCTACTTCACAGATAAGGAAACTGAGGCACAGAAGGAAAACAAGTTTCACTAAGTCACAGGCTTAGGTCTCCACGAAGGACCAGCCAATTCATTGAGGTTTTCAAGAGCCTGGAATGGAAGATTCACTAAGTAGTCTAGAATGAAAGTAAATCAATTAATTACACTGATGAGCTGTGGTCATTCCTGAAAAATATCTCCTTACCTGAATGTAGAGCAAATAATCATTCCACAACCTGAAGAAGTGGATACCAAGTCTTTAAAACTTAACTAGTGCAGAATCCAGAGGCAACCTTTTTTTTTGGGGGGGGGGCTTGGGAATGATGTTCTGCGATTTTGCTATCCATCAGCTAGTGAGGCGAAGCCAAGGATGAGTGTTTCGTTTGAAAAATCACAGCTGTGGGGAATCAGAGCGCAGCACCCATGACCTCAGATAACAATGAGGAAGAGCTTGCGTTCCACGGGGTGTCGTTCTTGGATTTGAATCCCTGATTACTGTATGTTCTTAGGCAGATTCCCTATCTACAAGAGGAGGGTAATAAGAAAACTCAAAAGAGCTAGTGTGAGGATTGAACGAGTTAGTATGTACAGTGCCTGGCACAAAGCAAGGGTCTTTGTACACGAGCTATTGCTCGTATTTAGGAAGGCAGGCAGAGGCTGGCACACAGTGGGCATGAATGAATGAATGGTAACCAGAAGGAAGGCTTACCTTGAATCCCAGCCCAAGAAATACTCATTCACCACTATTAATAAAGCTATTATATTACAGACATCCTCTGCATGTGTCTATAATAATGGTTCTGAGGCAAAAGAAATCTTTTTGTCCTAAGATTCGCTGATGATTAAATGATAATCAACAAACTTTTTTTTTTTCAAGTAGAGTTCTTTATTACAATCAAGATGAATATTCTGGAAGATATTTCTGGTGTTTTGTTTGAGGCTCTGAATCTTCTGTCAACCAAGCAGGAAGTGTTGCTTCTGCTGCTTGAGGATTTGTGGGCATAACTAACATAATCCCACCAGGGTTACAACAGGTTACTTTGCATTCAAAGGCAGAGAGGGACACAGTGATACAGAACTCCAGCACTCTTAGAAGGAGCACGATGGCATCCATGCCCGTTATGATGGCCACGATCATGTCAGTTTCCTGGTGAATGTCCATCGTCACAATGAGGATAACAGAATGAGTAAATAGTCAAGCTGACTGCACTCATTATGATGCCTGTGGCAGACATGACTGAACTGCTGATATTCAGCCCTAGGCTCCCTTGAACCATTGAGACAATTCTCAAGGCAACTGCTGGTGTCACAGAGCAGAACAGTGCTTTGAGCTTTCTTTTTCTTTTGTTACTGAGCATATGTAACACAGAATGAACACCAAGTCAACCTTTTCTTCATGAACAATTCAGAGACACTGATGACATTCTTCAAGGTGTCCAGTCATTCTCGTCCTAATCTTCCAAATGATTTCTCCCCCACTAGCATAAATTCACTGCCACCTGAGCTTTGGATCTCATTTTTCCAGCTGCTAGTGTTAATTTTGACTCCATATAAATAGTTCTTGAAAGAGCAGAATGCTAACTGCAGCAGTTTTAGCTGGACGGGCTAAACTATCATTTCGTTTTGAGAAGATTTTAAAGGGTTTTATGTTGGTTGCAGTCTGATAATCAAAGAACTTTTAAAATTAACTTATTCTATTAAAATACTTTTTAAAATTGGAAATCTATGTTAGAACAAAAATGACACCCTGAATTAAGTGGAATATTCTAACTGATCACTTTTAGTTCATACCTCTGAACCATATATTATTTAGTATCTGTCTACATTCTCTAGTCCCCACTAGACTGTGATGCTTCCTAACACAAGCACTTTTATTTGCTTCCAAGACCTTTTTAGAAATTTCTTACTGAAATTTTTAATGAAGGTTTACAGAAAATTTGAATTTCCATTCATTCAGTGTTGTACATTTTCCTCCCAACCATCCCTCAGTTCACTTTTCTCTTCAAAAAGATTCTTTCATTGTTGCACAATTCCCTCCCCTTGCCCCCTCCAAGACCTCTTTATCCCCACCCACTACGGTCTCAATGCCCTGCCTCCTCCAACCCCATACATTCCTTAGTTTTCATAGGGCTCACACTAAATCCATAGTCCTATCTAAACATTTGAAGGGTATCAGGGATTAACATTTTAGTAGGATGTCTTTAAAGGTGGACATTTAGTCTGTGAGACAGTTTAGGGGGATATGCATTTAAGCAGGGATGCCAAAGACAAATTCCCTCCTTGCCACAACTTTGTGAGGGCCATTTCCCAGGTTCGATGAGTGATCAAGGGTCAGGGTGATTTCAGGAGCCTGGACACTCACTCTACTCTCTGGACAGAAATCCTTAACGAGGGATCAGTACTCATCATGACATGCTGAGAAGATGCTTCTAGAAAATGGACATTATCTGCCACTGAGCACTGTTTCTAAAGACCAAATGAGATAATATTTTAGAGCAGTTTAAGTCACTGCTCAGCATGTGCTAAGTGTTCTCTGACTGCCTTGATAAGCAACACCACCAGCAAAAACAAAACTCAAAGGAAATTCATTCATGACCTTTAGGATAAATTTCAGCTTTGCTGGAATCCATAAGCGCTGCTCATGACACAACAGAGCAAAATCAGTTTACAAGTTGCTGTGGCAACATGTAATTTCCAATCTTGCAGAGCCCAGCAAGTGCCGCCTTATTCCACTTTGTCAGCTAAAACATCCCCAAAGAGTCCGCACTGGCTGAGCTGAGCAATCCCATCTAGTAAATTCTGAAGGGGCATCTCACCAGTGTGTACCGCAGTCCTAGAGCAGGTACACAGGTTTTAGACTCCTACTTCCTCACCTCAGGCTGTCAAACGCACGTTTATCAGCAAGAAAATTCAGAATAAAAAAATAAGGATGGAGACAGCCATATTTTACCAGTCAATGAGATAAGCAATTTCAAAAAATACTTAGCAATGCCTATCTAAACTAGCCTATCAAAGCAAGTACATGTGTTCAATGGACCCGAGCAGACAGCATTAAACATGAAAGGTAATGAGAAGAAATAAGCTAAAGAAACCATGTTTACAGAAATACCACAGCACAAGCTTGAGATGAGGCTGCAGTGGGCACTGGAAACTCTATTAGCAGAGACTCAATCAATCCAGTCCTGCAGCACTGTCACCACGGAGCAAAAGGCTGGGCAGAGAAGACTCAGGTCAGGTAAAGGGCAGAGTACGTGTCAAAGACAAGGGGATGGGGAAGACACATCTGTGAGCTAAATTCATGACAGGAATCCAGAATGGCCAAGTCTATACAGATGTGTTTATTTATATTTTAATCACGCCATTATCCATTTGCTTATTTGACACAGGAAAATTCTGGGGAATGTTGGTTTTGGAGAGCTTATGATCTGGCTGAGACTTCCGGACAGGCATTTAACATCTAATTATTTTAAGAGCCAATAAAAGAAGCACCGACAGATCATGATTTTTCCAATTTTTGTATTGCGATCCAGAAGTTAGGGCAAAATAGCTGCTGCTGAAAACTGTTTTCTCAGTAGAAATGCAAATGCTCCCCTTTTAATAAATGTGTTTGGTCATAAAACATGGCCACTTACAAGCAAAAATAAAAACAGATTTGTTCCCTGACATCTTTAGAACTAGAAACTTTGGCTTTTATTCCTTTAACTGTGGCTGACATTTTTTTCTCTGTGGGCCAGTACCACCCTTGGGCACCTTCCCACCCCAACAATAAACACTCTTAATCAGAAAACATGTTCTGAGTAAGTTCTTATTTTAGTTCCCTTAAAGTTCTTAAAATTTTAAAGAAGACATCTTAATTCCACAACCTTTATCTCTATTATGAATAATTTGGTTTAATAAAAGTCTATAAATAAGTCTGTCCTTTCTTCTTTAAAAAAACCAACTGAAGAAAGAACGCTCAACAAACTTTATAAGAACTACTGTTGGAAAAGCCTAGCTAGAAAAATGAAGAGACTCCTATCAGGTGACGGCACGGCACGCAGGAGGGTCCGGGTGGAACAGGAGCACCACCAGGCGTCCTGTGTTAGCTCTCTTCTCAATCACTCTTCTCTTCTCCTTGGTAATGTCTATATTCTGGCTTCAGCTCCCATGTGTTTTTGTGGGTCCCTTTTACATTCTGAATACCAATTTCTCTTAAGATTTCCTTCAGGTACAGCTGAAAAACAAAAACAAGAGTCCCATTAGATGGGATTATGGTGGCAAGAAATAAAATTTAAAAGAAAACAATATGCCAATGAAAATTATGATCCTGAAAGCACAATAAAGCTCAATAAAGATAGCCTTCTGGTTCCACAGGTGTAATGTAAGACTAGGTGATGAGGTGCATAAAAGAAGCTATAGATGATCTGGAAGCCAACAACTTTAGGGCTTAGAAGAGAACAAGGACTAGATGAAAACATAGGACTCCGTGGGTGCTCAGTGTTGATGGACAGGATACACACAGGTGACCAAGTGCGTTCTGCTCTTGGTAGGAAGGATACTCAAGGACACAGTCCACCGCTTTTAGGAGCAGTGCATGGTGTTATGGATTGAGGTGTGCTCGCAATTACGTGCTCTAAATCCTACCCTGTAGATCAGGAACCCTAGAGATGCAATGGTTAATCAAGTGGTTATTAGTCAAAAGGTGAGCTGCTTGAACCACTGGTGGTTCTGTAGGAGAAGAGACCTCAGATCTGCTTCTGCAAAGACAAGTCCCCGGGAAACCTTATAGGGCAGCTCTGCTCTGTCCCATAAGGCCACGCTCTTGGAGTTAGCATCAACTTGATGGCACAAACAATACACTCATGGGGTTTCTACATTTATTAGGCTACTATCTGTGTCTGTCATTGCTGCAGGGTTGGAAATGACTCACAGTCCATCCTCCAGTAGGTTTTTGGAGGCTCTAAATTGCATGGAAGGAGACTATCCATTTTTCTCCCATGGAGAAACTGGTAGATTTGAACTGTCTTCCCTCAGTGTGGGCACTGCAACTCGTTACCCACTAGATCACCAGGGCTCCCATTCTCATCTGTATAGATTGTGTCTACAACCAATCATTCTAGACTTCGCCTCGAGCCAGTGTCCCAAATTTGGACTTCTAGTCTCCTAAACTGTGAGAAAGAAATGTCTACTCTTTAGAGCCACCCACTTGTTGTATTCCTATTATAGCGGAACTAAGAAAATGAAAGAACACTGGGGGGCGGGAAGGAAACAATTATTTTTTGGACAATATATTCGTGAACCAGAAGCAAACAGTGGGTACAGAGAAGTATAACAATTCTGGAATATGTGCCTCAATTCAAAGATTAGTTACAGTATAGGAGTGAATTATCCTTGCCAAAATATCCTTAATTAGATGATCTAAATTGTGCCCTTTAATCCTAACAGGCAACATAAGAAAATCTAAACAAAACAAAATGAGAGACTGAGTTTTCTGCATGTTAAACTTAACACTTGCTGTATTCCAGGAGCTGGAATAGGAAGTGCATACCATGTGAATTTTATCCGTTTTTGACTAATAGTATTTGAGTACCAAGGCTCCTCCTGTCCTATGTCTGTTTATACACTAGTTTAGATGGTTGCTGCACTGCCATACATGGAGAACAGGAAAAGTGATGATAGTCTGTTCTTTGATACACTCGAACATTCCTGGAGGGAATTTTTGAAGAGTGAAGTTAAGCAGGTGAGGTAAGGTAGGAAGATTCCAATGAAGGGAATAGTGCTAGTAACAGCACCTAACATCATTTGTAACTGCCACATAGAAGAAAAGGAATATTCCTTTAAATTAGAATTGTTATTATTTATGGAAAAAAAAATATAGGTTCATTCGGATAGGGAGGAACTTAGTAAAGGAAAAAAAATCCCACCACAAAAAGTGGCTGATTAGCTGAATCCTACAGTGAAGGGAGAACCAGAGAAATAGCCAGTGTGGATATGTGAGTTCAAATCCATTTCTGCCTATGTATTAATCAGTGTGGCCCTTGCAGATAACGATGCACCCAGCCTTCAAGCTCTCTTGTCTATAGAGCGGGGATGACTCACCAGCGCTCTTCCATGCTGGGCTGGAGAATACTGAGTGTGTGCACACATCACACAGTATCCGCAGTCTCAAGTCTTTGCCATTTAAGGTTACACTTTCAATGAACATATTTTTTCCCCCCACTAAAATAAGGTCTTGCCTCAGTAGTATTCTAGTAGTGCCCCTCAAGGTTGAGTTACCTAGAATTACCTGCATTACACGGGAAACCTGCTAAGTCAGCCTCACTGAGCGCCCAGTAACTCCAAACCTCTGGGCCCAAGACGGGAGTGTGAGTTCTTAGTTAGTCCTGGGGATTCTGACTTGGCTACACTGATGCCCACATCATCTGCTGGCAGGGTTCTCCCGGCTCAAAGCTCACAGGATTTTCTGACCTTGGTATGCTGATTAGTTCCCCAAGCGTCACACCACTGGATGTAGAACTGATCCCATTTTACACTGGTGCACTGCTCTGTAGTTCACCATGTCCTCTCACTTTCAGGCTGGCTCTCACCTAGAAACATAAGTGCTGAATGGTCCTGGAACTGCACACTAGTTCCTGAAAGGCCTGGGTGGTGCGTGCTCACCCGTTCCAGCAGGGGGCAGTAGTGAATCAAAGGAACCAGGCCCCACAGACTCCCACATATTGTGCAGCCAGGTAATAGGCAATCTGCCACCTGCTACTTCCAAAGACACTGGAAGAAGGGAGCACTTTTTATAAACTACTTCTAATTGAACAGGATTCTTAGATAGAAAGTAATTAGTTGGGAAAAACCTTGAGAGTAAGTGCCAACAATAGCATTTTTCCAAAATCCCAAAGAATGGCTTATTGTGCAGCTGGCTAAGACCTTGTGCATGGTGGATACACACCAACGGATCTAAGAGTGAACAGAGCAATCCTCCATCATTTTTAGGTACTCTGTGGGCCTCTCCTGACTTCAAGTCCAGCCTGTCTATTTCTAGTATAGGAACCTGGTAAAGTAGAAGGCCTGAAAAGGCTTAAATACAAATGATATAGAAAGCTTTGGGGATCCAAGATGGTGGCGGAGGCGGAGACAACGTGGTGAGCTGTGGGAGCAGCTGACCACTTGGAGGAGGGCCACTATGGCCTTCTACAGACCTCTGTTTATTGATATGAACAGTTAAATAGTTGATGACTGGTCTTCAGTGAAGATCGAGGCTCAACAACAGGAATTCAAGAATTCCCAAGGAGGAAAGGGTGAGTCCCGAGGCTCCCAGCCCCCTCCTGCCTAGCCAGCACTGCACCACCGCTGCAGCTCCATGAAGGCTCCCGCTGCCGGAACCCTGGGATTCCCTCACCCCAGATCGATGGTAGGCACCGGGCCTCCCGAGAGCCGCCACACTGTCGCAAAGTGGACTTGGTCTGGGGAGAATTCTTGAAGCCAAGATGGTGGCAGCAGGAGAAGCGGGAGAACACACCCGGCTGCCTGGTGGAGACGCGGGAGACGCGCGCCCCGCTGCCTGCAGGTTCAGGTTTCCTTGGGCAGGCCAGAGAAGATGATCACTGATACAATGGATTGTTGAAAAGTCACTGTGAGTTGTCTACTTGATGACACTTAACAGTGGCAGCATGTCCAAGAGGACTGACATCCTAAATGCACCACATATTTTGATCTATTGAATGCTTCTGCCAAAAGCTGTTTAGACCTGGGGGGAGTCTGTTCACAACTCTCAGGTTCCCTTTGCCATTTATAAAGGGAGAGGGCAGTGACACCTACTTCAAATTACAGTATGACCATTTATGGGGGGGGGGGATAAAAGTGGTGCTGCTGGAATTGGGGATGCTGTCCCTGGCCACATAGTCCTTGGTCAGGCGAGGAGTCCAGACTGGTGTGGGGGCAACTGGGGGGGGGTGTACCAGCCAGCCCCTCAGGGGTGTTGCCCCCTGCTCGGGGTGGGCCATTTTTGGCCCCCGGCTCAGGGCAAGCCGTCATAGCCCTCTGCTTGGGGCAGGCTGTCTTCGGCCCCTGGCTCAGAGCGAGCCATCACAGCCCTCTGGGTGAGCTCCTCAGTCCCCAGGTTGTGCCAACTGACCCCTGGTTAGAAAAAAATGCCTAGGGTATCCAGAGAATTTTATCTAGGCTACTTTCCACCACCCTCTCCCCCAGTAAACCTGAAAGTAACACCCACAAAGCCCTTCTATTTGTAACTCACAAGTTTGTTCTCTCTAGATTTGCTCCCTTTCCTATAGGTAACCCTAACACTGAGTTTTACTCCAGACCTGATCCTGAACCCAGTGCCAGTGACAAAAAGGAAATACAACTTCCAGCTAAGGAAGCAAAGGAGGCTGGAGCCTCTGGGTTCAGTCAGCCATCCCAACTGGACCCACCTGGGAAAACATTTTGCAGTCCAGAGGGGAGCAAATGTCAGGAAAACATCTTCTAACAGAACAAGAAGGCAAGCAGCTTTAACCCAAGACCACCAGTAAGGAGATAAAGGGTCCTCCCTTTCCCCCTTCACATATATGGCCCTGTTCAGCATGAAGAAGCCAGAGAGTCTGCATCCAGTTCCCAAATCAATAAGACGGTTTAATCACCATTGGAAAATGCTTATCATTCCCCTGTAGCATCTGGTCCCCACTGGATCCTTTTCATTTCCTTCACCTGCTCCCCCCACCAACCAAATTGTGCAGCTCTGCAACTGCACCCCTGCAATTTTCATCCCTGCCCATCCTCACCCTTCTGCCCCCAACCCTCACCTCCTTGTACCCCCAATATGTTTTTCCCAATAAAATAAAATAAAAAATCTCAATTAAAATTAAAAAAAAAAGCTTATGCATGTGAATTCAGTTGTCTGAGGTCTGGCTGACCCTATTCTGGTAATACAGTGTAACAAAACAACAGAGTATTTCTTCTGTCTATAGATGTCACCTGTTCCTCCTCCTCCAACCATGAATGCAGCTGAGATCTTCCCAGTCTCTCAACCAGGGAGGTAACAAGATGAAATCAAAGCCACAATATCTAGCCACAGCACATTTAGCACTTTTCTTTTTAAATGGATGAGGCACATGGTCTGGGTTTTTACAACGCTATAAACTAGAACCTAAGTTGGCATCAAGTAGCTTGACACATGTGCAGGCTCAGAGCTTTAGTAGAAAAATTGTCATGACACTGAAGAAAGCGATCAATAATTAAAAGAAG